AACAATTAGAATCTCAAATAAATTAATATTTTTGTATCTTTCACACATCCACAAAACCCACTATATGTATGAAAAGCTCAAGAAATACCAAATCATTTCTCCAAATTAATAGCCAAACACACCTTATCTAAAATACCCAACTCTATTGTCAAAACTACACCCACACAAGCATTTTTATCATCAACCTACACAAAGCACTATACATGTTGAACCATACATCCATTATGCGTCCCCACAAGATTTCTTTTCCATCCCTTTTCTCTGCCTATTGATCTATTACATATAATAAACAATAGTGTAAAAGAAAAGTACCTTGATCAATGAGCATCAAGAATGCTCCCCTCAATTTCCCACCGCCACTTCCAGCCAATCCTCTGCGCAATTGATAGCAAAATAATATAAAAAAAAGGGGTTGAAAACCTAATTCTTAAGATTACTGAAAGGGTTGAAAACCTAATTCTTAAGATTACTAAATTACCCATACAATTTATTTTAATTATTAATCTATCCAAAATAATTCTATAAATGACTTGGGTTTTACATTTCAATCAGATGATACATTTAAGTCTGATTCCAAATCACATTAAAGCTTGCTCAAATCACATAGTATCAAATATTGCTTATCAAACCTTTCATAACTCCAAGTCGTAGAGGAGTACCCGAAGGACTTATTTAACTTGCCGAATTTACCGTACAAAACATTCATATAGAATGGCCTCATTCGAAACACCCATATTAGTGCAAAACATCACTTAGATGACTTATACAAAACATCGTATTTGATGGCTTACACAGAACATCAGATCAGATGGTTTATACAGAACGATTACTATTGAAACCATACAGAACAATTATTAAAGATTGACATCATACGAAACGTTAGTAATGAATCATTAGTTTGTACAAAACGTCCAAGACGGATCATAGATAAATAACAGTTACTGAGGGTCAAAGTACAATTTCCCAATTTATCATAATCATTGCTCAAAAGGAAACTTATTCATTCTTATCAAAACATTCTTTCAGAAACTTGCCATAGCATAATTACTCTGAAGATTTCAAGCATATTTTATCGTTTCGGAAACACTTGTCAAGGCATATAATTTATACAAAGCATAAGTTTCACAATTCCAAAGTATTTCATATAAAAATACCGTTACAAAGAAATTACTCACAGTGCTTGGTCGGATGATACTCCTTAACAACTCAGCCTGCAGAAACATAGTCAAGCTTTACATTTCAAAGCACATTGCCTTCAATTCACTCAATCGATTTATTCGTTACATAACTATTCAATCATTCCCCATTCTTTAATCCCTCTCAAGTGTTTAATGCTAAACTTCTCCTCTTGTGATTCACGTACAAAGCTTGTGTCAAATATGTATTTTAAACGACCCTAAATGTTCATAACTTAAATTAATGTCTCCTACAACAATTTCATATGTTTTTCATTGAAAATAACATGTTTACATATTTTAGGTTTAAGGAAATAGCGAGAAGCGAAAGGAAACTAAGTTAGGGTAGAAAATGGCATGAAACGATTAAAAGAAAATAAACATCCTTCACTATTTTGAGCATATCTATTTGTGTAATTAGAATTTGGATGTGAGACCACCACCATTAGAAACTATACTTTCAAGGCTTGAATTTAGGCTTAAGAATCACTTAAAACGGAGTCCGGATGAGGGAGACATACTTTTTTTAAGTTGAGCTAAAACAGGGGTTCTGCTCGTGCAGAAGTCTTCACCGCTTGTGCGGCCCAAATCTTCTCGAGCGGAAACAGTAGCCACTTGAGCACCCAGAGAGTAGGATGAAAACCTCAGTTCATGTTCCGCTCATGCGGAGCCCGTGACTGCTCGTGCGGTCTGGGGAAAATCAGACAATCTAAAAATGGCACAAAAATGCAAACTTCCCAAACTTATTTCTAACCCCAAGTTCATGCAAAACTAACTCAAAAACATGATATACTAGCATGATACAAGTGTAATTTCACTTCAAACATGTCAATCTTGCCTCAACTTTAGATTCATGGTCTCATCTCTTTTCTCATATTCATAAATTACGTAAACAAGTTCAATACACATACAAACATGGTAAATCTTCTAACAAATCTTGGTTGTATAAACCATCTAGAGTTTCTTTCATGGATTAATCACAAGAATGAACTCAAATCAAACAAAATTGAAGGGATTTCTTGATTTTATTTCAACCCTTACACAACTCAAAACCCTAACTCAAAATTTCCAATTTCCACTTGATTTCAAGCAAAAGATGAGATGTACACAAAGATTTCAAGTAGATTAACATACCTTAGGTCAAATTTAGGGTTTGCCCCTTGAATCCCTTGCAAAATCCTAACTTCTCATCTTCCTCTCTCCCTAACTCACTCAAAGCTCTCATCAAGAATTGAAGAACTCAAGAGCAAGATACATATATAAGACATAGGCTCATAAATTTTAATTTAATCATTACAAATCGTAATTTTTCAAAATTTCACTGTAGTCTTTAAAAGTCATGCTAAACACAAATATGAAGTCGATTTTGGCTTGTCGTGCCTCTAAGGCTTTCAATTTCAGTTCAAAGTTGTAATTGCAATAGATTTTCCTACATCAACAGATATTATTCCAAATAAACATAATTCATATACTTAAACTTGCAAATTCATGTCAAACACATAATCACGTGCATAATTAAGCATAGTACAGGTTGGGTTATCACACTAACATTAATTAACTCTATGCTAGCTTGTTTACTTGTGTATTATCTATCACTTTTCAGGATGCCAAAAGCAATAACAAAGGAAATTGATAGATTATAAGCTCTTTTTTGGTGGGAAGGCATAGATTTAAAGAGAAAAATCCACCTAGTACAATGCAAAGTGGTGAGAAAGAGTATTAAGCAAGAAGGGATAGGAATTAGGAGAACTAGAAAGGTAAATGCTTGCTTATTGATGAAGTGGTGGTGGGGGTTTGCCAATGAAGATGATGCATTATGGAATAAGATGTTATGCAATAAGTACAAAATGACAGAGGGCGACTGGTTCCCAAATCTAACTATGAGTTTAAGATGTTCTAAGATATGGTGTGATATTTTAACAGTGGCAGAGCAAAGAAATAATCTTCTACAATTTTTTGCTAATAATCTACAGATTAAAGTGGGTGATTGTAGACGCGCTCGCGTGAGGCCTTCGTGCTACAGTTCGGACTCAATTTGTGTCACGGTTCTTAATCTGAACCAAAGAGTCCAAATTCGGCAAATCGTTTTGAGAAACAGATTTTTTTGAAAAAGAAGTGCCAAACATGGACTGCTTTGCCAGATACAGAGTCGCCACCAAAATATTTTATTTTGAGAAATTTAGGAAACCCTGACTCGGTGCCAAAGGCCACGTGTCCGTCATCACCAAAGTTGCCTCGGTTCGGGAGCTTGGGTACGATTGGGGAAGGTCAACTATGAGCACCCCCTCTCGCCCAATCCGAAGATCGGCCTCTACTAACCATGATATCCAGTATTGAAAACGTTATGTGTTCTTATTCCGGTTATTAGCCTAGAATCACTATGTTATGCGCGCAGTAAACAAGTATAGACCAAATCGCCTAAATTGAAACAAAACATTTCATGCTTGTTTTGAAAATGGTTTGCTACTCGCAAGTAGGCTGAAATGCAGGTTTTGCCACCCTCAAGTGGGCTTTGGAAAAGATGGTTGTGCCACTATCTAGTGGGCTTAAAACTCACAGTTTTAATGCATTATCCCAATTTAGGTAATTCAACCTCCATCCACAGGCATTCAAGCAGTTATATCACATAAGCAGCTAGCCTCATGGTAAGCATACTGTCATGTTAACATTCACACACATGCGAGATGCTAAAGCATAAATACTTACATCGTACTCCGTGCCAAAACAGTAAACTAGTTAGCAAAACATGCGTGTCCTAGTTCATGCTAAATTGTCTAATGCAACACATACAGGATGCAATTAGATAGGCTCGGCTAATCTAAGCCATGGCATGTGAAATGCAATCAACTATCACATAGTCAATTTTTGAATTGAAGTACAAATGCAGTTAGCGTGATGTACCGAGCCTAATGCATGCAATACGAATGCATGGATGATACAGGTCTGTTGGCTTGAACACAGGTCTGTTGGATTGAACACAGGTCTATTGTTCTGGATCTGTTTGAACAGAGGTTTCAATCATAACATACAGGTCTATTGTTTTGGGTCTGTTTGAACACAGGTATGTTGGTTGCAACACAGGCCTGTTGGATTGAACACAGGTTTATTGATTTGGGTCTGTTTGAACACAAGTTTCACTTATGTCTGTTTGAACAGGTTTAGTCACACAGGTTTCACAAATTCACAGAGTCTGAGATGCATCTGTCTCCATGCTTCTGGGTCTGTTTGAACAGGTTTAGTCACACAAGTTTAGTCATACAGGTTTCACAAATTCACACAGGTTTCAACAATTTTACACAAATTCACACGGGTTTTAACTAATTCATAGAGTCTAATTGTAACCATTCTGTCTCCATGTTTCTGGGTCTGTTTGAACAGGTTTAGTCACACAGGTTTCAACAATTTTACACAAATTCACATAGGTTTCAACTAATTCACAGAGTCTAATTCAGATACATCTGTCTCCATGTTTGTGGGTCTGTTTGAACAAATTCAGACAGGTTTGTTGCAACAGGTTTCAGTCACACAGGTTTGAACTAATTCACACAGGTTTTCACAAATTCACAGAGTCTAATGTGTACTCATTTTGGTCTGTTTGAACCTGTGTAGTGAACCTATCTAGATGAACCTGAACCTGTGCAACTGAACCTATCCAGTTGAACCTGTGTAGTGAACAAAACAGACCAACAACATATTTATTTGTTGCAACAACACAGACCAGTAATTGAACAAATTTTACAGAACAAATTTTAAGAACACAGACATTGATCAAAGGAGACAAACAGACAGACATTGATCAAAGGAGACATTGAACAGTGTATTACATTGAACAGACATTGAACAGTGTATTACATTAAAAATAAAATGGGGCATGTGGATCCAATAGTGATGGTACTGTAGAACTTTGACTGCTTAGATTGTTGACCATTCTTGATGTGCTTCCAATATTGTCCGGCGTTTCCATTGTGCAACCCCGTGCCTATAAAAACAAAGTACATATTACAAAATGATTTTAAAAAATATTGACCAATACATTAATCATTACAAATGTGTACTCATATATTGAACATGTACCGGTACAGACATGTTGTCTTCTGTGCCCACCATAGAAGGAAAATAGTAAGCTTCATCATGCGGCACCTTATGATTATATAGTAAGACAATGTTATTAATAATTTGAAGCATTAACATAAAACCCAACAAGAAGCAAAGTGCAATATTTTAAGTCCATTCAACACATACCGGAACATACATACTATCTTGTGTGCCAACCATAGAAGGAAAATAGTAAGTTTCATCTTCCAGCACCTATATGAAATAGTAACACAATTTCATTACTAATTGTAACCATTCAACTATGAATCAACAAAAAGGTTACGAAACAACCTCTGCCAAGTATTTACCTGTATGGGAGTAGTCTTTTTGTTCTTTCTCTTCAACCGATTAACTATTTGATCAACCTTGCTAACCTTCCGCCTCGTACATGGACGCCCTCTTCGGCGAGCAACCAAAGGACTGAGTACCTTGCGAGTGTTGCTTTCTTTTGTAGTATTCAGACGTGGCGGACTTTTCGACGAAGTATGCGAAGGTGGTACAATACTAGTAGAAGGTGGTAGAGTACTAGTACATGGCACATTACTCGCAGTACCCGATTCAATAGTTTTCACTCGATCCATGATTTCCCTCAACCCAAGTTGAATCACTTTGTGTTTAACA